AAATAAACAAATAAACAAATAAAATAAATAATTCAATTGATAATTTAAATAAAACAAATAAACGAATAATAATAATTCGAATAGTTCGAATAAACAATTCAAATAATAAAATGAATAAACGAAATAAAATGAATAATTCAAGCAAAACAAATATTTGAATAAACGAATGATGTCAATTCGAATAATAAACAAATGATGATAACAATTCAAATAATAAACGAATGATGTCAATTCGAATGATAAACGAATGACAACAATTCGAATAATAAACAAATGATGTCAATTTGAATAATAAACGAATGATGATAACAATTTGAATAATAAATGAATGATAATAACAATTCGAATAATAAACAAATGATGTCAATTCGAATGATAAACGAATGATGTCAATTCGAATGATAAGCGAATGATGTCAGTTCGAATGATAATAATAAGCGAATGATGTCAATTCGAATGATAAGCAAATGATGTCAATTCGAATGATAATAATAAACGAATGGTACAATTCGAATAATAATAATAAACGAATGATACAATTCAAATGATAAACGAATGATGTCAATTCGAATGATAATGATAAACGAATGATGTCAATTCGAATAATAACAATAATAATAGACGAATGATGATAATTCGAATAATAATGATAAACAAAATTATATGGACTTTAAAATGAAAAACTGCTTTAAATTTAATTTCTGGTCATGAGTTTTTCAATATTAAATATTTATGAACCAATACATTAAAAAAACAAAAAACAAATTTAAATTATTCCTGGATGTTTAGGAACGGAATACAGTTATAATTTATAATTTATAATACTGAAAAATATTAATTAATTTTAAAACTTATTTTCTACAATTACAATTAAAACCACGCAATCAGCCATTCCTATCCTTTTGATATTCACCAAGACAACTACAATAATTACATTGAGACGCCCAAGAACCTGAAATTGTTTAAATAATTTAGCAAAATTTTGAAAATAATATTTGAACAAAAAAATATTCACATGTCCATTGTCCACACAAAAGATTACATTTACCGGCCGAACACATCTGAAATTGTTTTAAAATAATTTAATTGACAAATTTCGAAAATAATTGTATTTACGTTACTTTACTTACACTTTGCACAAGTCGAGAAACCATTATACCTTAAAGTCAACGTTAAAGTGAAGAGATTGAAAAGACAAGTGAAAAACACGAATAAAATGGTTAATTGTTTCTTTAGTGAATCGAATATGATATACTAATACTGTAATCCTAAGTCACCATTTATATAAAGTAAATCTAAATACAATTGAGTTTCACAATGTAATATTAGGAACATATTTATCCTTTATTCATTTATTCATTAAATATCTAACGTCAATTGAATTTCACAACTTAATATTTGGGATCATAATTATCTTTGTTCATTTATTCACTTATTCATTAAAAATTTAACGCCAATTGAGTTTTTCACAAGCGCAATATTTTATTTTATTCGTTAAAAATCTAACGAATATTTAGGATCATATGTATTTAACTTTTATTCGTTTAATTATTTATTCATTTAAAAATCACAGTTTTTCAAACGCAATGTTTAGAATCATATTCATTTCAAACACGTAATTTATCTAGATCTTGGATCGATATAAACTCTGTTAATGACGAATATACTTAACCAAGTCCAGTCTAAACGATTATCACGTCATGAATAATAATAGCACAATTTTATTCTAAGTGAAAACTTTATTAATATCCATAATTTTCATTGATAAAAAGAGGCTGTCCCAGCTAAACCAAAATATTAGAGTAGCAGCTGTTTCAATGGGAATGGCAGTTCCTGATGCTCTGTATTACTATAGTTTAAATGTCTTCAGTAATGATATAATATAATAACTTTGGACTTTTTATTTATTTTATCTTATATATTTATTGGACACAACCCGAGCTGTATTTGAATTTACACGCTCGCAATATACTCATACTGCCCCTTTTTATTAGAGGAAGCATCAAAGCTTTCAGACCAGGGTTTCCAAATAAGATCAGAAGTTTGGCATTGTTTGATTCAACAAAACCACAATTAGTATACTGTAGTTTGTGTCTGTTGGCTTGTTACTTGATAATTTAGGTATAATTTTTATTATATTTAAATTATTCAGATACATGTATTAAACTTTAAGATTTTTAATATTAATAAATTATTTATATATTATATATATTATATGATATATTGATAATACATCATTTCAATTTGTCAATACTATAAAAAAAATGAAACCATTGATTTGAAAAGGTAAGAAACAAATAATACTGCAATTATGTATGTATGATTACAATGATTATTAAAAATTACATTTATTTTTTTGTCAAAAATTATTATTTTTTATTTAATGTGCATATTTGACATCCAAATTTCAAAATAAAATAAAAAATCCAAAGTTATTATATTATATCATTACTGAAGACATTTAAACTATAGTAGCCAGATAAATAAAAATAAATAAATAATACATAATAAGTGACAGGATTTAACTTATTCAAATAAGTCATCTGATATAGCTAAATCAATTTGTTTGGAATCTACAAAATATTTATCACAAGAGTGGATATTAATAAATATAGTTAATTTAATAAAAATGAAAATAGTCAATGATTGAATATTAATAATTACCATTATTATTACTAATAATAGTTACTTTATTGGAATTCACAGGTTGGGGAAGGTTTGTAAAATTTAATAATCTGCTAGTATAAACTGCATTTGGATG